TAAATACCTTCTTAATTCATTTCTTTTGTAAATTTAGAGTTTTGTAAAATAGGGCACACCTATAATTTTTGCCCTTGAAATCAATGTGTAAGAGTAAATATTTGTAAGATGGGACAGCATTATATGTTTTATACTGTTAGTGTTTGTGTAGATTTAGAGTTAGAGTATATATATTTCTGTCTTTCCCTTCATGTAGAATCTTAGAACTGGGTGGGCCCTTTGCGATCATGTACTCTAGGGATGGAACACTTGAGGTCCAGAATTTGGAACTCACCCCAGATCATACTGTGAACGGAAAGAAACGGGGCCTAATACTCAAGTCTGTTCTTCACAAAAAAAGTTTTAATTTGTGAACATTGAGTTGGCACCAATATATTTAAATTCTCAGCTTTATTTTTAGAAAACCTTACATAAACTCATTAGGTCATGTACAAGAAAGTCTTATAGAGCAAATCATGTATAAAAAATAGCCACTTCTAGAAGTTTTCCTTTTTTTAGTGTCACTTGTTAAAGCCACAGTTATGATAGGTGCTCTCTGTAAAAGGTCAATTAGCAGATTACTCAGGATATTTAGAGTTTTGTGTTATCTTCAAATGTCAAGTCAGAGTTAGGAATGTTGATACATTTGGGAGAATTTTGCCATAAAATTTTCTATCTGATGAGAAAACAATTCTAGGTCCCAAATAAGGGTTGGCCACATCAGTTCCCAAACAGTGGCCCACTCCCTTGGGTGGCAAGGATTTGAACACGTCGTAATACTTGACCTCTTTTCACTGAGTGACCCCTGTGAACTAGGATGGAGGGATAGATAGTATGGAGTAGTAGAAAGGATGGTTTGATAGCTTTTTGTGCTTTTTTAATGTGGGAAAGGCTCAAGCCTGCACATGAGCTGTGGGGTAAGTTCTGGGAGAGGTCTGTAAGTATAAAGAGAAGAAAAGCACCAGTGGGACAAGGTATTGGTCCTGGTGCAGTCCAGAGGGATTGAGATCAAAAGCCCTGGTAGAGGGATGATCTTTGAATACCTCTTTCAGAACCTAGAGGAAAAAGAGGTGCGTGTAGATATCTTTCTTCATGTCTGAGTTGAAAGTTGAGAAAATTCACACCCAGCCCCTTCGGTTTTCACTGTGAAGTAAGACAAGGCCATCCTAAGAGATTTGTTGCGGATGAAGGATTGGGCCTGGAGGAGAGCCGTGGGAGTGGGGCTGTCGGTGATTAGGGCCAGGGGGAGTCTGCTGGCAGCAGTGAGGATTCTGCTGCGGTTGAGTGCAATGAAGGTTTACTTTTATCAACGGGCCTGTTGTTTGATTCTGCACCAATACAGCACATCCAAGAGGTAGAAAGAAAGAAGAAGAAAGATGGTTGGAAAGATCAAACATAAAAGCTTATAGGAGGACTATATAGAAGGACTTAAATACAGATTTGGAGGATCAGGGGAGAGTAAAGGGATTTACCATGAAAGTGTGTCCAAGAAGGACACAAAGCCCTGAAGTGAGTGCAGGATCAGGAAGGCGTGTGGAAGGTCTCTGACACAGAGAGCAGTTGACCTAGGAGTAAGGAAGCCAGAGATCTTGAAGGAAAGGAGGCACAAGCCTGCAGTGGGAGTCTATGGAATGCTCTAGGTCAGGGATCAGCAAACATCCTGTGAAGGGTCAGATGGGAAATATCTGTGGCTTTGTGGGCCACGTGTATTCTTTTAGAACCTCTCACCTCTGCCCTTGAAGCTTGAAGGCAGTCATAGACAGCAGGTAGATGAATGGGCATGGCCCCGTTCCAGTCAGACTTTACTCAAAAAAATAAATTGACCTGCTAATCGGTTTGGAATTATCTCAGGGGCTGTAGTTTGCTGACCCCTGTTCTAGATGATGATAATTTCCAGGATATAGACAAAGTTAAGGTGGGGACTGTTAGAAACCAAGGGGCTAAGATGCTTTAAGATTAGTATAATTACTGTAAAACATCTAGCTCCAACAGATAACTGGAGAACAGGTCGCCACCAACAGAATGTACATTAAGTGCACAAGGAATGCTCTGTATAGATTATATGCCAGGTCATAAAATGAGCCTCAGTACATTTGAAAAGGACTTAAATCATACCAAGTATGTTCTCTGGTCACAGTGGAGTGAAATTAGGAAACACTAAAGAAAGAAATTTGGGAAATTTAGAAATATGTGCAAATTAAATAACATACTCCTTAATGCAGTGGATCAAAGAAGAAATCACTAGGGGAATTAGAAAATACTTTGAGTAGAATGAAGATGGAGACACAACATCCCAGTTATGGGCTGCAGCTAAAGAACTGCGTATAGGGAAATTTATAGTTATATATGCCTACATTAAAAAAGAGGAAAGATATCAAATCAAAAACCTAATTTTCTACCTTAGGACAGCGGACGTGTGAGCGCAGTGAACAGGAGGGTCTGAAATGGCCTAAGGAGATGGCATGGGATGGAAGCCAGACAGAGCAGTTGGTCTTAGGTGAAGAACAGCTTTCTCTTGGTTACTGGACCGTGGGAAAGTAGGATGGTTTATATGTTTGCTGTAAGTTTATAAAGTTCCCATCTTTACCACTTTCATCTCTATCTCTGGAAAGCTGGAGTTGAGGTCATTTGCAGAGAGAAAAAGGGAAAATGGAGCATTGGAGATTTGAAGAATGGCCCTTGTGTGGGTGATTGAAACAGACCCCGTCTGGAGTTGGCTAGAAAAAGCGATTAAGAGTTTTGGGCTGTAGAGGAGCCTTTTGAAGCTGGTATTATAGAGGAATTACTGATCTTCCTGTTGTGTGATTCTTTCAGCTATATTTGGGGGTGTGGGTGAAGGCACCAAAAGGCAAATGTTTATACTCATATATGGCTAGGATTTGGGCTAGATAGATGTGATGGAAAATAAATGGTCAGTGAAATTTAGGAGGTTGAAATGGTGGGCCATGGTCAACAAGCTCCACAAGGATGCACCTAAAGAAAGGAGAAGGCGGGTGAGTAGGGAGCTGGTGCAGGAGGACCGATTAACTGGAGGTGACGGGATGTCTAATACGATCAGCTCCGCCAGCGCGGGGGATCTGTTAGTTCACAAATGTGTCCCCGCCCCTGGAGTCGTGCCTGGCGCATAGAAAGTGCAGAATATTTGTAATTGTTGAATGGATGATCTTGGCAGAGCCAGGACTGTTTCCTAAGCAAGCTGGAAGAACGGGCGGTGTGCTCAGGGTTGGATGCCTGGATGAGTGATGGAGGAGGGAAAGCATTGTGGATAACATCCCATGTGTCTGACATGTATATGCGGTAGGTTCTCAGTAACTATTAGCCTTCGTCATTATGGTTTTGGGCCTTTTATAGGAATTACTTATTTTTAAAGAAACAGAGCCATTTTCCTGTGAGCTGACCTTTCTCTAATAGCACCTTTTAAAGCCACTGGAACGATCAGGGTTGTTGGAGTCCCCTTCATATGGTCAGAATAAACAGAATACTCGTGAGAATTATCTTCCTTTCCAGATTAGCCTCGTGTCCTTCTCAAAGCCAGAAGCTCTGGGGACGTCTAATGCTTTCTATTGCTTTGTTTGTTTTGCTTATCTCACAGATGTGGACGGTTTTATATTTACATCACTGTGTCACCTCTCTAAAGTACATTGACCTTTCAGGAGGCTTTTGAAAGGCCTTTTTTTTTGCTTTTAGTATAGGGCCGAAGTCTCGTTTAAAAACAGGGATGGCTGCTCGCAAAGGAAAATTTACAGAAAGAGGCTGAAATGATAATATCTGATTTTTAAACAGTGCCATTATTTTCCCATTTAGTAAATGAATTGAAGGAGAATTTTGACTTTGAGTCAGGATTGGTATCTTTTCCAGATAACTTAGATTATTTCCTACCCTGTGTCTCCCCCACACTCTATCGTATGATTACTTATGCACAGCAGATACTTACAAGTCTGCGCTGACTGAGCTTAATTGTAAAATAAGCAGGTCTCTGAAGCGCTCTTCCCTCTACCTGGTAAATTTCTTTTATGATACAATTCAAATATCATCTCTGAAGTTACCCCCATGTCTCCCAGGCAGATGAGCCTGCCTCTGTCCTTGGAGCAGTGCGTAACTTTTCTCGCACGCTGCCATTATTTACTTGTATGTCTGTTTCTCTCCTCGCCTTTCATCCACTAGGGAGCAGGGGCTTTGTCTTATTTATTTTTTTATCTCCAGTACCTTCCATGTGTCTGTCATGTGTGAGGTGCCCCAGAATTGCCTGGCCGATGAGTGTGACAGCAAGAAAACTCATTCTTCAAGCAAACAGTATGTGGGCTTAGGTTGGAAAACCCTGCCCTCTAAAGGATTTTCCCTGTTTAGAATTTTCTTGCTGTTAGGTGAGCAGTGATTAATGGCTCTGTGATCCAACCAGTAGATGTAATTAACCTAGAGAGAAGTTACCTTTTGTTCCTACACTGACATCTTTTAAATTAAGCATCACATGTAACTGATACTCAATTATGTATTTGTTAAAAGTACAGATGTCCACCAAGATGTTAACAGTGACCATTATTTGGATGATAGTATTTTTGTGTTTTAATGTTTTTCTTTAGGAACAATTGGTTTCATTCTTTGAATTTTTCTACTTCAGGATATATATTGGAAATTTTTTTTTCCAGTTTTAAAAGATGTGGTACATGATGGAAACAAGAGAAATAAATGCTTTAGTATCATTTGGAACTAGTTACCTGGGTCAAGATGGGCCAGACCCTGCTTTAGTAACAAATCTCAGTGGCTTAGAAAAGCATAGTTTATTTGCTGCAGGTTGACAAGGTTTCTTCTACATCCAGTGTCTCGGACTCAGGCTCTTCCACCTCAATGTGGGTCCTGAAGATGCTGCAGGAGGAGGGAGGATGGAAGAGGCCTGCCGGCTACCTGCCTCCTCACATCACTTCGCCAAAGCCAGTCTCAGGGACCCACACTTACTGCAAAGTGTGGAAAACGCAGGGGAGCACCAGTCGTTTCTGATGAGTGTAACTCTTTTCATTTTACAGTTACTGTAATGAATGTATGTTGGACCCAGACTGCGGTTTCTGCTACCAGATGAACAAATCAGCCATCATCGACTCCTCCTGCGTTCCAGTTAATAAAGCGTCTACAAACGAGGCGGCCTGGGGCAGGTACGTCCCTCAGCACACGCTCTGAGAACATACAGTAAAATTTTAGGAGACCTGTTTTCAAACTTACGGAGTGAGAACTGCATTTCTTTTTAACTGGGCCTGTCAGACGGTCTTTCCAACTGAGCTTATGGCTGTGCTACCCTGCACCCTGTGCCGACGAGAGCGGGCGTGAACCGCGGCGACAGTGCGTTTCGTGGCTACAAGATCGGCTTCCAGAC